TTCGATTGACTCACGATGATTTTTGGTTGCTCATACCTTCTTTTGGTCAGCAGTTCAGTGACTGCATGAAAGTCAGCCTCTGCTTCAGTGAAAAAAAGGCAATTTCTTTTAACTCACATTTTTGCACTACTCATTTTCATTCTGTAATTTACATGATGCTTAGCACGGCGAGGCCATTGATTTGCGAATGCAGCCAACGTATTTGAATATGATATTATTAATTCTACTGTGATTGCTTTTGATATCGATTCGTTACGATTATAAATTATCAGATGCATCATGGCTGCTTGCAGCCACATTATCATTTTACGTAGTGCTGAAGAACAATGCCTAATATGGTGTTAACAGTTAGGTGTACAATGCGTGTGTAGGTGCGTATACGACTACGAATGAATGTATCGATTGTCCAAGTCGTTATTTTTTGACGTATAAAAACTTCAGAAGTCTTAAAAGTGAATTTTCATGCTGCAGAGTTTAGAGAGTAGATCGTATCAGCAACCACGCTCTACTACCCAGAACTGTTCACAGGACGATAGCGACATCGACGACAAGTGTATCACGAGTGCATCTGTAGAGCAGGTAATGCTATATCGTGCTCGTAGTATGACATAAGGCAACTTTCAAGACACATTATTGATGCAGTCTTTTCGTCCTCAACTCTTTCTTAGATGCAATTCGATTGTTTCTTATACTTCATTTAGAACACGTTTGCAGGTGTTGTTTTGCCTTTTTCCGTTCTATGTAATTTTATTGTATTGCGTTCACCTTAGTAATTTGATAACGCAAACTTGTATTAAATGTATTGATTGTGTTTTTGTTGTGGAAAGTAGCGGTGAAGATAATTGAGAGGTAGTAAGAAAGAAGTTGCCGCGACATAAATAAAAAATGTTTATAAACAATGAGGTTGTTTTGTTTGTACTTTTAGACAGCATCTGACCGAACAACAAAACACTCCTCCGTATCAAGGGGCGTGCCCGCAGCTGGAGAGAGAGAGAGGTGAAATCGCGATGGCGAAGAAGGCGGTCTGTTTCTCGAATTCTGTTACATCAGTTTTGTAGCGGTATGGGCGGCGCTTTGCATGATTTTTGTTGATTATTCATTTAGCTAACATCCTAATCGTCTTTTTCCATCTTTAGTAGTCGCAATCACACTCGCCAACATCATGCCATCTAGTAATGTGGTCGGTTACTATTAATCTTTAATTATTTTCTTTTTTTTTTGCCTTGCATCCATATATTCTTCATATAAACTTTTCCCACAGTTGATCCAATATTTTTTCGACGAAAATCTTCTTTTGAAAATGTTGATTTTTATTTCATAATCGTCAGTGGAAAACTTTTCTGTGTTCTGCAGTCAGTGATCCTGTTTCAAAAAATGCATTTTCATTTCAAACAAGTTATGAGTTACGATATTCGTATTGCTTCTTTCTGATATTCGTCATTCTCAGCGAACAGTCTCTGCGGTTACATAATGATAGCATAGGGCACTACGAAGTTTGCATAATGATTCGTCGGTCTTATCACATTAACGTTTCTCTTATCATCATCTATTCCATTTCCTTTATGAACGTCAACTTTATCACCGCAGTTTGAAGCGAGTGAATGCGTGTGAGATTATTTCAGTTAGTTTACTGATAAAGAGGGCAGTTTATTGCGAATTTTTATCGTATCTATAATATTTGCATTTGCTTTCCTTTGGAGTATCCGGCTCTGACGTAGTCGTATTCTAAATGCGCAAGGTTCATTTATCTCAGAATATTGGTTAATTTCTATCTAACAATCGAAAATCACAAACCTCGAAAAACGATTTCATGAAAACAGTTTGTTTGTTCACAATTTTTACTAAACAATCAATCAATTGATTCAACCAATATGAAAAGTTAATTGCAGATCAATGTGCGGGTAACGACCATGGATGCGGAGCTGGAATTCGCAATCCAGCCGAGCACCACTGGTAAGCAGCTCTTTGATCAGGTCGTTAAAACAGTCGGACTTCGCGAAATTTGGTATTTTGGGTTACAGTACACTGATACGAAAGGCTTTCCGACATGGTTGAAACTTAATAAAAAGGTTATTTGCAGATGCCTCGCCATTTCACTCTATTTTACCTGAAATTTTCAATTTTGAGTGCGATATGAGTACGCAAGTCTCACATTCTACAACTTTTCTGAATTGTTCCATTACAACCAAGCTTGAAACGAGGATTAAAATTAAAGAAGTAACTGATTGATTTCAGCTTGTGTACTTTGCATCGAAGCATCTCTGGATTCATTTTTTTGAGTTTTGCATCCCTGTACTAGATGTTTTGAATGCTTGTAGAAGAATCATTTTATTTTTTGTGTTGAAGCTAAGTGTTGACCAATAATAACTTTACGGTGAAATTTTTGATATTCGTTATTGGGTAGCTAACTGAACTGATTAAATATGTTTGCGACAATCCGCTGATCCGACAAATAGTTGATGCGGTTCAGCGTGCTTGTTGATGCGATATTACATTTTACCTATCCACTCTTTCAATTGGTGGAAGATTTCTTCATCAGTAGGCGTTCGCGGGTTGACTGAAAGATTTATCAACTTTTGATTGGCGATTGTTCCTCTGTTAATTTCATTGACTGACTGTTAATAAATGATCTTTAATTAGCTGTTTTCACTTTTAAATGTTGTTATTGTAGTGTCGTTATTAAATGCCATCCATGTCAAAAATATTTATTAAAATATTGGTCTTATTATTCAGTTGGAATCGTAATTTCTCCACCTCACACACATACAAGCTACTTCTTTTGTTCGGTTCTTTCACCAGTTGATTTTGTGCAAAGTTTATAATATTGATATGATTATTATATCTTGCATAATGTATTATGAAAAGTTATAACTTAACTCTTCCATCATTGATTTCAGGTTGTGGTGCAAGACGTTAAAAAGGAACAGACTTTGTTATTTAAATTTCGCGCAAAATTCTATCCTGAGAATGTTCAGGAGGAGATAATTCAGGATGTTACCCTCGTAAGTGTCTTTCACTGTGCGGTGATATTAGTTTTGATTATTGTTTTTGTTGGTATTATTGATGATGAACAAAATAAGTTTTTTCTTCGTTCTAATTGTATTAATTTGTACTGATTTAAACGAGTATACCCTTTCCTCATACTGAATTGCTATCCACTACTCATGCTTTTGAAGATGACATATTGTTCCGTTGTTTTACATTTTCACTGCAAATTGGTTATTTGAAACCCCTCATTTGACGTTTTTTAAACGCAAAAAAACGAGATTTCAAATAAACAATATCTATGGTATGGTTATAAAGACTAATTGATCATATCATCTTTCACTTGAATGTTGACCAAAATTTGTTGAAAATGTTCCTATTGTAAACGAAATCATGCTTTGTTTAGAAATGATTACTGTCATCCACTGAGTAAATGAATTAATTTTAAGCGTATAGATTCGCACTTGGACTGATTCATACTTCATAATCAGCATTCATTGTCATCCTTTTGAAAAGATTACTCTTATTTGTCTGTCTCTCTTTACTTCAGCATTTACGAGTTGAGATAAAGTTGAATTTACATTTGACTTATTCGATAGTTGAAGTTGAACTCTAATTTCAAAAGTTGTATTTTAGAGATTATTCTATCTACAAGTAAAAGATGCAATTCTATCAGACGACGTTTACTGTCCACCCGAAACATCAGTATTATTGGCATCATTTGCGATGCAAGCGAAATACGGTGACTATGTGGCTGAAACTCATAAACCTGGTTGTCTCACATCAGATCGACTACTCCCTCAAAGAGTTATTGGGCAGTTCAAACTCAGGTTTCAGCAGTTTGATATCATGGTTCATTAACTGTAACTTTTGAAAGTGATTCAAACTTTAATCGCCAAAAGTCACATCTTCATTCATATTTTGATCGTTCTCTTGTGGCATCTGATTATTACAATGATTTTCTAATGAATCATCACGTTGAAAGATTGGATAAGGAGTGATATTTGAAATTAGATACGTTATACTGGATAATGGTGAACTGAATGATAATGAATGGCTATTATTAGGTTGTTGATTTAACTGTATTCGATCTGAATAGAATCAGTATAATGAAAATATGTTGATTTGAATGCAGTTCGATTGTTAAATGCTGTCACGTTTGTAGTCCTGAAGAATGGGAAAAACGTATAATGATTTGGTGGGCAGATCATAAGAATACAACAAGGGAGCAGGCTATGATGGAGTACTTAAAGATTGCCGAAGATCTCGAGATGTATGGAGTTAATGTGAGTCTTAGCCGATTATCTTTTCGTTTCGCAAATTATCACTTTACCATTTTCATATTATTTCGTTTTCCGCTAATGTTTATTCAATCCGTACGCATTAATTTGAATGTGTGACGATAATTGATGTAAATGTTCTACGAGTAATCATCTCAGCATTCGCTAAATTGTGCGAATATGTTGTTGGTTTGTCAGAAATAAATTTTCAATCTGTATGTACCATCTATTTGTCTATTTGCGCAATTCATGCACCTTTTCCAGAACTGCTCATGTTTATGTTCTGCTGCGAAATGAAATTGTTTTGGAATATGGCACCGTGGATAAGCGCTGATTCATTGAATAATGATTCAGTTTTGCTGCAATATTTCCCTCCTGTCGGACGATTTCTGATTCGTTTAATTCAAGGAAAATAATTTCATTTTATGATTTTGAACGAGAATTTTTCTGGTCATCTTCGATTACTTAATGATTTCCTGTTCATGCACGGGTCTGATTCGGCGTATTTTGAATGATAAAAGTAATGATTCAATAAACATATTGACGATTAACAACGTTTCTTACGTGTTTCATTAAAACGTGCTTATTACTGAGATCTTTTTGAAAATATTAATATTACTGTTATTATTAATATTTTCACGGTTTTTATTGTTGTGTTATTAAGTATGGGTGTGTTAAAATGGTCGTCAACAAATGTGACGCTGTTGAGCTGAATTTGTTATGTGTGACCTTGATTGGTTCGAAATGTTTGTTGATTGCGCAGTGACTCAGCAAGCATCTTATAAACACCTCTCCCCACTTCCTTCCAGCTCAACAGTTTCATGTCATAAAATCGAATGAATGTGCTAAAAAATTGACCGTCTTCTCTTGCTGTCTATAGAAACCGTGTGTTTAATGATCGAAATTGACTTAAAAATCTGAAAATAACAGATCCATTCATACATCCGTCCTTAACTAAAATATATCACATCAGTCAATCGAAAAACGCATATTTATTTAGGAGGTGGAGTAATTCATTCCTTTTTTTCTCTCGCGACGAAGTTTATGTCTGCTATAAAAATCTCATATGTCACCTATTAAAATTGATTGTTCCTTATGAAACACTGCTTATCATGATAATTTCTTTACAATGTTATTATAAGAAATGTATCTCTATTGCAGTACTTCGACATTCGTAATAAAAAAGGAACAGAGTTATATCTTGGAGTTGATGCGTTGGGATTGAACATCTATGAGAAAAACGATCGGCTGTCACCGAAAGTCGGCTTTCCTTGGTCCGAAATCAGAAACATCTCCTTCAACGATAAGAAGTTCGTCATCAAACCGATCGACAAGAAGGCCAATGTGTGTTTCTGTCGATGAATGACACTTTTAATTCTATCATTTGTAAGGTTATTTTCAGCTGCACAAAAATTCACTTCATTGCGAATTCAGTATGTGTGAATAAGTATGCGAATTTCTATGTTAATCAAATGGATAAATCAGCTAATCAAAGAAAATAGGTTCAGCGGCAACTATATTTTCATTTCAGGATTTCGTATTCTATGCACCTCGTCTACGAATAAATAAGCGTATTCTGGCGTTATGTATGGGCAATCATGAGTTATATATGCGCAGAAGGAGGCCTGATTCCATTGAGGTGCAACAAATGAAGCAGCAAGCTAAAGAGGAGAGACTTCAAAGGCAACTTGAACAGGAGCGTCTCTCCAAGGTTGCTGTATTGTTCTTTGCTTACAGTTTTCTGTTCACCTATTAGTTGTTATGGTAGGCATTCGAAATGTGAGAATGAGTGTGATAGAAAATCGTATCGCTGATCTATTTATCGGTCTGTTCGTGTAATGATAAAATAGTTATTAACGGCATTTGAGTTATTGAATTAAATACACGTTAGTGGTTACCGAACTTAATTTCTAAATTTATTCATGCTTTCATTTATTTCTCATTGGTTGCCGGCATATTTTTAGCTGATTTGCACAAAATACTCACGAAAACTTCGCTTGATTTTGATTTTGACTCATTTACTATTTTATAAAAGTGCTGATATATTAAAAATACACACTTACCTAAAAATTTTTAGGAAATGAGCGCACGTGAAGCAGCCGAACAGAAGCAACGCGAATACGAGGAAAGAATGGAACGTCTGAAAGAGGAAGTAGAAAGAGCACAACGTGAACTGTCTGAGGCACACGATACGATCAAGCGTCTTGAGCAGCAGCTACATGAGTTACAAGTGAGTAATGTTACTGGATTATTCATTTTGCATGCAAAATGTTACGTTATTTTAATGGTCATTACACATTTCGCATTCACATGTATGCGTTTTATTTCTTTAATATTTTGGACATGTTTCATCGAAGTTGCAGTTGTGAATATCTCTTACATTACTTTTGAAACTCGCATCTTATTCCACAAACATTTATGTGATAATGGGAACGGTACTTTCATATTTGTTATTATAACAAAATTTTCATTATTTAGCTGGCGAAGGAGCAGTTGGAAGCGAAAGAGCAAGATTTGCGTATGTTGAATGAACAACTGCAATCAGAGCGCGAAATGAGCACAGAGGAACGTAATCGGTTGATATCTGAAATTCGAGAGCGTGAACTGCAAGTGGCTGAAATGCGTGAGCAGGTCGATTTGAAAACCGCCGAAACGAATCGGCTCAAGAAAGAGGTTGATTACTCTTCTCAACTCAGCTCGGTATTTTATATTATCTTATCTTTATTTTATAGGTATCTGAACGCATTGTTAGCAGATTTTTAATCTTCGATGCGAATTTTGATATCTTACTAAAACAAATTGGATAATAACAGTGGACACTTCATTGTTATTGATCAATTTGTTTTTTTTTTAATTTTTATATATTCATGTAATTTTTATTTAAATTTTGATGCAGATCGTTGGTAATTTGATGTAAATAAGGCATGAGGCATATATATTAAAATTGAAGTTGAAAATGGATGTAAAGCGGGATATTCAAGGTGGGGGTACATTTTCATGAATATTTCGAACATCTGAGAAGGTTTGCTGGATGATAGGTGAATTTACCTGAAGTTGAAAGTAATGCAGATTGAATGCTTGGTGATTTTTCAGGTTGATGAAGCAGCAAGATTGCGTCGTGAGGCAGAAGAGAAGCAAGCACATGCATTGCAGGTTAAAGAAGTTGATCTTGATGAGGATATGCTCCAGAATGCTCATACAGGTACAGGTGCTTTCCTTTTTTTTTCACCCATCTTTTTTAGCTTTTTCCATTGAAAGGCATCAGGATGACCGGTTTCGTTGATGTTCAATTCCAAATTTTTTGACCTAGAACTTTTATACAGTATTTTATCATGAAACATTAGTTTCAGTTCATGCATTCTGTTGTGCGCATTTATTTACTGAATACATAAATATGCTGTTGAACATGGATTATTTTGCAAATTATTGTTATTTTAATGATCAAATGCGTTGATTATTCTCATGGCTAATAATTTGATCCTCTTATCTTTCGTTATCAATACCAGTTTGTTGCATGCAATAAAGCGTAGAGATTGCGCATCTTTTATTGTCAAACACAGCAACAGTTACAAATGCACCTTAGCAGTTATTTATGGATGTCTACATCTATAGCCTAGTGTGTATGGGCGAGGAAATCGAGAGTAATTTGCATATCGAGGTTTCGTTTCTGATAGCATGCACAGTTGGCTATTATATATTAAGAAGCTTAGATAAATTCGGAAATGAAATGATGTATATGCTGAAAATTAGCTGCGTATTGCCAATTTAATATTCTTGGTTGATTCGCTTTCTCCTTATTCGAAGAGTTATTACTACGCTTGCTGAATTAGAGTCGTTTATCATATTTTGTAAGCATTTTCCTTCTCTGTGCTATTGTCTCTCTGATTTCTCTTAGTCTTCACCGTTCACTCGTTTTATTTATGCTTGCAGTATCGTTTTGAAACGCATTTATGAGTTATGAGGAACCATTGTCATTCAAGATCAAAAGCATTGTGATTGTTGTTTTTTCGATTTTAGTTGGGTGAATCAGATTGAGTTAATCGAGATGTTATTGAATTGATATTTGCAGAATTGACAGCACGTGGTGACGAAAATGTTCCTCAGAGAGAGCTTGATAGGATGACGGCCACTGAACAGAATCTGTCGTTGAAACACAAACTTGAGGTAATGCTCAACGGTTCAGCTAAATTCTAACAGCGCTATTTGAATGCATTGTTGTAGCTTCCTCTGATTCAAGGATTTAAATCACTGATGCCTTATTGTAATATTTACACAAAATGAATAAGACTCGTTGAAAATCAACAGCTGGTAATCTTGAAGACATTTTCAAATTGTTGAACCTGAAAATGTGTTGTTCTCTTTTCTCGTCTATTGTTCATTCGGAAAAATGTGTTTAAAAGTAGTGTACTGTAAAATTAATAATATGCTTCAGTAGTATAACACTGCTCCGAAATGATTGCACTCAGTAAGTTGAAAGTGTAATCAAGAATGAACGTTTAGAGCATGTGGTGAAATAGTTTTTGACTTTTTCATTTCAGGCTTTGACGGCTGATCTAGAAGCAGTGAAAGATTCACAACACGTGACCGAATATGACTTACTACATATGGAGAATAAACGAGCTGGTAGAGATAAGTATAAGACATTACGTCAAATTCGTGGCGGCAATACGAAACGCCGTATTGATCAGTACGAAAATATGTGATGATGATATAATAATAATAGTTGTTGATAATCAAACACAGTTACCGTTCGACTTCATTTGAGTGCATCCACCCGTCCATTCATCGTTTATTCTTATCAATCAGAGTCCCTTATTCTCGTCGCCACCTACTGCCGCCAACTCGTTGTTGTTCTTCCGTTGTTCCGCATCCGCACAACTGTAATTGCTTCGTCGTTTATAAATGAGAAGTTGCAGTTCAACACGTTGTTTAGACCCGTTGAAATAAATGCTCGCTCAAATTGTTTTCAGTTTTGTTTTAATTATAATTAAAAGTTGAATTTATTCTTGTTTCATATCCTGAATAAAGTTAAACATCCTGTTATCATGCAAACGTTAGTATTCAGTCTGAAACGTTAATGAAGAATCGGTGACATATTGCCTCCAAAAGTTAACCTTTCACTTATCATATGCACTTATCTCCTCTCCAGATGTGCCCTATTCTGCTATACTTTGTCGTTTCACATTCTCTCTCTCAATTAGGGGACGATGTTTATTTTTGGATTGTTTAATGGATTTTTCAAGTATAGTTTTATTTTTTTTCACCTCATTCATTCTCATTTTAAGGAAATCTGTAGTATGATCGATATTCATTTATTCGTTCGACTTAATAATAAATGTTGTAATGAGTTTAACACTTTTCCTCTCTTAATTTGGCTCGAATAACCAATCGTTCAAATTATGGTTGTGATTCGGGTAGAATTGATTTCAGAATGCAGCACTAGTTCGCTTTCTGATTCACATGTTTTGTTGTATATCTCCAACGAATGACTTCACTGAGAGAGTACGTTGGATGGATTTGATTCGTTTTCAAATATTTAATGTTGAGACAATTACAAATTTCATCGATCTATGCGGTTGGTGTATCTCGTAAACTTTTGTTGCTTTTCAAGTCTCTTTGAGGACGTTAGGTTCCAGAGTCTATTTGAGCCCTCTACATATCAAAGTTCCGGGAACGACTTCCATCTTCTAAGTACATTGATGAGTGATGAATTGATATTGAAGTGTGGTAAAAATGCTTACAAATGAACTCAGCAGAATGAGTCATAAAGGCTTTATGGAACGACGGATGTTAAACGAAAGTAAAACTGACGGATGCAAGAAGTGATCCGCGTTTATGTTGCTTCAAAAGAATCCTATGTTGCTATTGATTGAGTTGATGCTGTTGAGAAGTTTCGTTTTAATTGTTGAACATGTTTCATTTCGCTGCACGTTAATAAACACAAACATAAAAAATAAAGATATTATAAAACAGTTTTATCGTTGCCATTTTGAACGTCTATCAAGCGTTATATGATCACGAACTGAGAAAGATGGTTTGAAACGAAAAGTTTTCACGTGCTTTTTTACTTATCGTTTCATTGTCATTCAATCAGTAGGCGGATATCAGCACGTGAATAGTGATCAAACGTTTTACTATACAAACATTTTCCCGTGGTCGTTTATTACAAACTGCATACAAACGGTTTATGCAAGGACAGTTCAAATTTGAACTGTCCTCCGGGAGTAAGCAGTTGTTCTGTTTCGGTTGGGTTCTACATGATTTGTTCCATTTTTATCTCTCAGGAACATTTGAAAGACCTTTTAAGTGTAGAACATGTTCTTAGCCGTTATCTAATCTAATTCACCGCGTTATCCTTTATCCTATCTAATTAATCATCAACAAAGATTGATCGTAGGAGCACCGTAAGAACTATCATATGTCCCATTTCCCGTTATGATCTACGCTGAAATGGGCACTGAATATGAGAGGTACATTAGAAGTGTAATTTCTCTACTTAAACCAGAATTGAGTATCATTATAGTGTCCAGCAAATTGAAAGATTGAAATTTTTTTGACGACTTTTGCTGAGTATATATTCATCCTTTGCTCAAGTAACAATGATAACATTTCTAGTCAGGATTGAATGCAACAAATTGCACATTTGAGTATTGTCAACTCTGCAATGTGGTCAATAGTACGCGTAATACATAAAGCGTGTTATATCTGAATGAACTTGACTAATGAGAATCGAACCCTTTTTGAATAAGATTGAATTGCTCTCCGAAATCTTAACGAAAGTGATGAGAATGTGCGACGACAGTGCAGAAATGTCGATTCATAGTCTAAAATTTCGAAAAGCCAAAATCGCTATCTTGATAGAAAAAAATGTGAAAATTCCAGTGTTCTAGCTTTTCAGCATAAAATCTTCAATTTCGGTCTCCAGAAACCACTAATAGTAGAAATGAATATTTAATATTCAGGGGTAGAAGACAGGAAAATTTGTTTCAATTTAAGAGCCGTTATGCTTCATTTATGGGAATTGAATGATTGAATTAATCCAGAAATTTTTGTACTTTAGTCAGTCACAAGAGTGAATGAATATTGAAGCAATAGACGTCAACAGACACACATGTTTCGGCTTTTAACAAAGGAAATTCTTCGTAGAAGAGTTAATTGGACGGCAAAATAAAAATGATGAAGAGTTGAACACTTATTTATGATTTCAAGGCAGAGAATTCATTATGGTCCCAAAAAAAGCAAATTAAGATGCTGTCTGTTGGGAGTAGTACAGATGAGCGCAAATTAAGGTTATACGCAGTGAAACAAAAATTTCCATTGATCAAACTAGCTGTCACAAGCAAAGCAAATTAAGATGCTGGTAGATTAAGCAAATTAAGATCGAATATATTAACTAGCAATCACTTAATAGCTGTCACATGCAATAATTTACGTGGCGTTATTGCATTAAAAATGGTTCATAACAATCCCGTCTGGCCATAGTTTTTATGCTTCATTTTTATGAACATTTTGATGTGAATATATAAACATACAGCTTAATTATCTTGTAAAAGCTGATGCAGAAAAGGATGAAATTATGATCAGAGTTCACATCTTATACATCCATAAATATTTCATACGATTAGTGTCTGTGGGTGTTTCTCATCTGATCGTTTCGGTATTATCAACGATTTTCTCACGTAAGCATTTTGAGAGAAGAGGCCACACACACAACTATGATAGTTGGCCGATTGCATTACGAGCATAATTATCGACAGGATCGAATGTATCAACACTCATTGTTGATGATCACTGAACGAATCGTTGAAATAACGGTCGAATTCAGTGTTCGTCTCAGTTGAAGGTTTTGTATTGTTGCATGCTTCTTCTTTCATTTCTTGCTGTTTCATTGAACCTTGAAGCCCAAAAATAGTTTCCATGTATGCAAAAAAGTCTGTGAAGTTGTAGTGCGATATTGAAGTGCTTTGTTCCAATGTCAATTTGTTTTCTTGTCAAGAATTCCATTTCGGTCGAACTGTCATTCAACTGTGAGGAATCACGACACTTTGGTATTATGAGGTTACATGAAATAATTAAGTAATTTCTTGTCACCTGACTTTCATTACTATTTTTATGAGAGTTCCTCTCGAACTTACTCTCCATTCGTAAGTTTTGTCCACTTGTTGAGAATAAAATTGAGGATATGGACAAAATTTTTGAGAGATCATTCTTTAAAGAATATTGTCACCCTACTGTTATCACCTGGAGTGGTACAGATGAGCGCGAAAGCTACTGACGATCCACTGATGATTAAGTAATTTGCGATTTGCGGAACGCGAACTTTATTGTAATTCATCCAACAACTTAGCAATTTGAAGGTCTCAGTAGGGGAAGTGAATCTGACCGATCACTGGAATTTGATTTGAAAGTGCTTAGTGTATGTTTGAAGATATACAGGCATTTGAATCATCACATTCCTGCTTACGGTAAAGCGCAACCGAACGATCAAATTAAACAAAATATGTTTCGTTTGATCAAAAAAAATCTTTCAAACTGCTGAGTACTTTTGCATATCAGCGAACAGCCGTTCCGAACTCTACACGGTGATGATGGCGCAAATTTAAGGTGATGATATGAGAAGTTAAACTTTTTTTAAATTGAATAACCATCGGAAACATTTAAAAAACGTTTTAACGATAGTCAAGTAGATTGCAATCAGAGAATGATTGTTTAAAAAGTTTGTTTGTTTTGACGTTCAATGAAGTAAATATTAATATAATTAATGCACATTATTTCATTGAACTCGATCAACGCGTTTCAGCTATCTTAAAGTAGGAAAAAAATTTTGATGACTGTTGAGATTTGTTATACCGAGAAATATTCATCACAGCTTCGATCGCTGTTTGGTTTCAGCAAATTTAATGATATAAACCACGATCTCAGTTGTAATCTGTGACATTGCGACTGCTATTTTCAGAACTCATCGTTAGAATTACAACTTGATAATTTTCAGATTTTACTGTTGCATTGAAACAAAAGAGCTTTTCATTGCAAATCTGTATTTTCCCAATATCCTCAAGTAATTTGTTGAATTGGCATTTCCAATGTATAAATACGAGGTAATTACAAAAGTGAACGATATTCATTGATATAATCCTCATCAGAATTGGCCATTAAAAACCGACACATTTCAGCAACATTTGTTCGTTTGATTACGTTCGCTTATCCCTCGTTTATTTTATCATCCTTTCTCAAATCTCAAAAGAAATCCTCCTTTAGTTGTTATTGTTGTTTTTTGTTGGTGAAGAGGATGCGATTGAATAGAACGACCACTAATGTGCATTGAAAAAAAGCATACACTGAGCTATTTAGCAATTCATGTCTTGAACAGTTGAATCGATATGCTTCCCATCAAATCAGTGGATAACATTCAATTGACAACTAACAACTGATCACCGATGAAACAGCTACTTAAGCGCTCAAAAACTCACTCGCAGCAACACTTCTCTGATGAACGTCACTAACCAAGTCGATTTTCTTTTATTCTCAATTTATAAGACATAAAAACAACCTTCAAGAAGAATAAACAAACTAAACATTAAATGAACGAGCGTGGGAGTCAATTGTTAGTGCTTTGTTTGATAACATTTGCTCAAAGTCAGCTACATTCCAAACAGTTAGGCATGTCAAATTCATTATCCAAACTGCTGGCTGCTTTACGAAG